TTGATCTTTTGGTCGAAGGGTACTCTGGGAGATTGCACCTTGAGTCCATCTATTCTCTGAAGTGTGAGCCAATCGGAGCTTGCTCCTGCAACGATCTAGACAGCATAGTAGAGATGTTCCTTACCCCTTCTTTAGAGTTTGCAATAGAGCTCTTTGCCTCTCGTTAGCTCGTACTTCACGTTTTGTGTGCAGCCACGTTCTCTGAGTCGTAAGACTTAAGTCTATTCTTTCCAACAATATATTGATCTTTATGTGTCCTAAGCATTTCTTTCACATGAGTCCCACCGGACGTGCCAAAAATTGTTCGTAAAAAACAATCAATCAAAGGTGTGGTCCCACTAGGCGTACCAAAATTGTTCGTGGTTGAATAATAAATGCTAGGCGTGCTAGAGATATTAAGTCTCAATAGATAATGAAAAGGGCCCCGAGTTCCTTTACCATAGTTCGCTTAGATGTAAAAAAATAGAAAGCTTTGGTAGAACAAGTGTGTAATTTGATTGAAGTGAAAAAAATTATAGACTAAAACTAAGAACTGAAAAAAGGACTAATGAATGTAAAATATGCGAGTCTTGATCGAGTGTTGACTGGATTTCTCTGTTTTTCTTCTTTCTATTTATAGTGTTCGATATTAAAAGCCTTTTCTTTGAGATTTGGCACATTCTACCAAAGAATTAGGAATCTCGTGAAACTTATGTCACGATCTCTCCATTTTGATAAACAGCTCCATTCACCGAACTACTTGGGTGTAGGTTTTCGGCATTCCTTAGAATCGTGTTTTCGTGCTAACGGTCTGATATTTGAAGTTGACGGAATTTTGGCATGTTTATTTGTTGTGAACTTTATTGAGCTTCGGGGCCGGCCTCTTTTGTTTATATTAGGCCTGATGTTTCGATTACTTAGTCCAACTAACTTCGTGACCTATTTAAGTGATGTTTTATATTTAGCCCAAACAGTAGGCAAACAAGAATGGTTCTTATAATGTGGCGTGGACAAGGCAAAGGGATGAAAGAATCGTAATTGTTCCCAAAAAAAAAAAGACCACTGATACCATAAATGACCTACTCCCTCTAGATCAAAATATTGGGTATTGATAATTAATTCACCACATTCAAAAAAATATTAGTTAAAGTCTTAATTAAAAAATATTATATTCTTATTAAATATCTTATATAAAAGCCTTGATAATAGTAATTGAAATTTCAATACATTATTTTTTTAAAGAAGTAATAAATAAATTAGGGGTATAATTAAAAAAATAGTTATAAAAGTTACTCAATACCCTGTATTTTGGATTAAGTAAGGCTTACTCCTTTTGTCTTTATATATAAAAAGTCTTACGAAATTTTTTTTGGTCCCTAAATATAAAGGATTGTTAGCATTTTTTTTAATGAATGAACCATTATACCCTTATTAAATTAAAAAGAGAAAAATAAATATTCTCACTAATGTACTTTAAAAAAAGAGATTCATTTTTTATTTATAATAATTAGGAGTAAAATTAAAATATTGTTGTACTTTTAATTAGACAACCAATTTTATTAATTTATATGATTCAATTAAAAATATCTTATATATAAAGATGGAGAGATAAAGCATAAAAGATATCTTATATTCTAGTTATGAGGGAGTATATTTTGCAGCCATACCATTATTGACCTGTATTTTGGGACACACGTGTCTCCTCTATAGTGACCCACAATAGTATGTGGCGCACTTGAATCAGTGACCCGTATAGTGACTGCATTAATGCATTGTGAACTATGATTAATTGTTAGTTATTAATCTTGATTTATTATTATCCGAAATCAGGTTAGACGTTTTAATAAGAAAATTTACTATAATCCCTCATGATTTCTCCTCATAGTTTGGGATTTGATTAGTTAGAGCTTGTATCTCTTGTTTAGTGATTTTATATGAGCATGTTGCTCTTGATTGCAATGAATATTGTTTCTCTCTTTACTTCAACAGACTGTGACTTGATTTACTCATCTTGTATTTATTTTTTTTCTCTGATTCTATTTATAAAGTAAAAAAAATTAATTTTATTTATAAATCACATTATTAAATTTTTATCATAATTTTTTTTACACTCTATTAAATGTTAGAGAGAGAATATATGTTTTTAAAATATGTATATTTAATAAGAATAAAGTTGATAACTTATTAAATTTTAAAACAAAATTAATAAATTTTAAGATTTTTTTATATTACTGAAATATATTAAAAATAATTTATAAATAAAATAAGAGGAGTATGATATAATGAAGTTATGTCAATAATAATAATAATAATCAACTTTTTAAATAGCCGTCTTCTAAAATGCGTGAGGGCAAAAACCGGAGTGGAGCAGCTGCGGCTTAGAAAGTAGGGGCTTTGGATATGGATACGTTATACTTATCCAGAAGAAGATGAAAACATTACATGAGACCAAACAACAACAACAAAAATCGACCAGCCACCCCAAATTATCTAAGGAATGGGGTATCCCGCTAAAATCATTGGACAATCTATGTTGGTTTTGTCCAATCCTATTAGTTCATTAGACCTCTCCCTTGAATAAAAGATTCCCAAGTGAACTGTGCATTAACAAAAATTTAAAAAAAAAATTCAACTATACCTAGTATTCTAAATTTTTGTGTGTGGGATACAATTTCACTTTTCAACATTTAAAAATAATGTATTGAGCATTTCATCATTAAAAAAAAATTAATTTTACCTTTGTTTGAATACAAAAATTTAAAAAAAACTTAAAAAATTATAGAAAATGACCCATAAAATTGCAAATAAGTACCATATAATAATATTTTCATTTTATTACTTATATATAATTTAGGAGTCTTGGATGATATTAATTTTCTTATAAAGTACTTATGTAATATTTTACGAGTCAATTTTTTTTTATAATTTAAGGTCATTGTCTACATTTTTTAAGTCAATTAATGGTTAAAATTAATTTTTTAATGGCATGATATTTGATGCATCATTTTCAAATGTTAAATGGTGAAATTGTAACATACACAAGTTTAGTATTAGATACTCTGAGTGAATAGTTGAAGGGCAAAAATTCTATTTAATCTTTTTAAAAAATGGTTAAATATAACAAATTTATCACAATATCATGCTTTCAAGAAATCAAGTATCCAATAAAATGTTACAACAATACTGTTTTGACTACCCTTCATTATAATTAACTGGATTTCTTTTTGAGTTGTGGAATTGCAATTTCCTATGTGATTTTCTTCGACAATATTGAATTACCAACTCTATTGCAAGCTTAGATAGAGTGAACATTTTATCTAGAAAAATGAAATAGGTAATTAGAGTACTAGAAATGTTCCTTAGAGCATCCTATTTGGGTATATTTGTTGGGATATATGAACTACTAGATGTAATAGGCTTTTCAGGTCGAAAAATATTGTTAGTAACATGTCTCCGATGTGGGGTAATAATTAGGAATGTTGATGGTAAATGAATTATAGGTTTTTGTGCCCATTTGGACCCTTCCCCTTCACCATTGAGAAAGGCAAATGGATAATTAAATGGTTAAAAATCTGTTAAAATCTCGAATATAGATAAGTTAAAGTTGATTAAAGTTCTAACTTAATTTTTAAATATTCATTGTTGATCGTCCTTTTTGAAATGTTATTTTGAAAGTTGGAGAGTTTATTTAGAGAGATTAACTGTTTGTTTTTAAGTTTACTTTTATAAATGCTAACGAGGTAGTGAATATTTTAGTTAGTTTTTAGACTTTTGATTATCTCTCACCTTGTTGTTGTAAATTAGTGAATGATAAAAGGGTGACTAGATTTGTTTGAATCGTGGCTCTGTTTTTAGTGTATTCCCTTGAATGTATTATATCTGCTATTTAGTTATATATAGAGATATGTGCTTGTTTGTGCAAAAAAACTTCATCTAGAAAATGGTCAAATAGCTTACATGCATTGAAGGTTTATAGCTTTGACCAGAACATGCTGCTTTGGTAGGAGAAATTTTCTAGCATACAATGACGTGCGTCCTATTTCACAGTGCATCGTCACTTGCCTTGGACCCCACCCTTTTTTTTTCCAAAAAAACTTGGGGTTGCGGATGACTTATTTTAGTCATTTTAGATAAATTTTAATATTATTTTATATATATATATATATATATATATATATAAGTATAACAGGCTTACTACCGTGGATATATTTTGACAACTAGTCTGATATTCTTTATCTATATAGTCAAAGCATGTTGCATACGCCACCGTGACCAGGGCCGGGGCAGACAAGTTGAGTTAGCCCATCACGAGATATTCTATTTTATTACATACGGCTGGATTGTTCTGTCTCCCTCCCTCGAATTTCTTGCCATTTGCAAACAGTATCATTTCCCCTTTCGTTCACTACAATCTTTCAAGATCTTTAGAATTTTTCAATCCGGGAGTTCAAGAATGGTTGATTCCAAACTCCAAGGATATATCCAACTTCTCTTCATTTGGCTTCTGTCCACCTTCCTAGTTCTAACAATACTGAAGACAAAACAGAGGAAGGCTCGTCGTCCACCCAGCCCACTAGCCCTCCCTATCATCGGACACCTTCACCTTCTTTCCCCTCTTCCTCATCGAGATTTTTACAACCTTTCCCTTCGCTATGGTCCTATCATCCACCTTTCCCTCGGCTCTGTTCCTTGCGTGGTCGCCTCCTCTGCTGAAGCTGCCAAAGAATTCCTTAAAACTCACGAACTTTCTTTCTCCAATCGACCAGCTCGAACTGTTGCTGTCCGGCACTTGACCCTATTTCATGTCTGAACTTCTAGGCGGGAAGATGCTCGACCAGCTCCTTTTGGTGAGGGAGCAAGAGACGAAGAGATTTCTGAGAACTTTGCTTCAGAAAGGGAAGGTCGGCGGCGAGGCGGTGGATGTTGGAGCAGAGCTCATGGTGCTTTCGAATAACATTGTATCCAGAATGACTGTGAGTAAAACGAGCTCTCAAAATGAAGATGAAGCCGACGTGGTGAGGAAGTTGGTGATCGATGCCGCTGAGCTCTCCGGGAAGTTTAACATATCGGACTTCATCGCGTTCTGCAAGATATTTGATTTGCAGGGATTCAACAAGAGGTTGAAGGAAGTCCGAGAGAGGTTTGATACCATGATGGAAAGAGTAATAGAAGAGCACCAAGAAGAAAGGAGGAGGAGAAAAGACACGGGCATTAGAGGAGATCAGACCAGGGATATACTGGACGTTTTGTTAGACATACACGAAGATGAGAACTCGGAGACGAAATTGACAAAAGAGAACATCAAGGCGTTTATCATGGTGAATCAAGTCATTATGTTCTAAATTTTCTATTCATACTACGGCAACAATTAACATGGCCGGCTGTAACGATTATGCAGGACATATTTGTGGCAGGGACAGACACATCCTCCATAACCATTGAATGGGCTCTGGCAGAGTTAATCAACCATCCGCGCGTAATGAAGGAAGCAAGACAAGAGATTGATTCAGTAATCGGAAAGACCAGAATAGTAGGGGAGTCCGACATAGTGAAACTCCCTTACCTTCAAGCCGTAGTCAAAGAAACGATGAGGATTCACCCTGCGGGCCCATTGATCTTCAGGGAATCGTCAAGAAGCTCTGTAGTGTGTGGATACGAGATTGCAGAGAAGACCCGGTTATTTATAAACGTGTGGGCTATTGGCAGGGATCCCAGTCAGTGGGAGAACTCTCATGAGTTTAGGCCAGAGAGATTTATGAGCGAAGACGGAAAAGGTCAATTAGATGTTAGGGGTCAGCATTTTGAATTGATTCCTTTCGGGAGCGGAAGAAGAGGATGTCCTGGAACGTCACTGGCTCTTCAGGTTGTGCACGCCAATCTTGCAGCTATGATTCAGTGCTTCGAATGGAAGGTAAGTGGCGCGATTAGCATGGAGGAAAAAGCCGGGATTACCCTTCCAAGGGCTCACCCCCTTATTTGTGTCCCCGTGCCCAGGCTTGATCCATTTCCTTCTGTATCTTGGTGAGATCAACGTACGGTTCTCTCAAATGGCAGTGATGGAAACCTGTGTTTGAGTTTTAAAATTTGATTTTTCTTGTATAATATTTAGTTTTTTTCATTTTAAATAAGATATTTATAGGGTTTAACAGGGATTAAGATCAGATCTGTGCAAATGAAGTTAAGATTGCTTTCTGGGTTCGGCTTTCTTGAATGATTTAAATGAAGATGACTTTTTTTAGTCCCTCCCTTCAGTTAAATTAAGATGTCTCTTTTTGTGTGCATATGGGTTTTGGGGATGGGATGTGTTTGTGGGAAGTAGAAACGGAATAAATCTGCACCCAATATATACATTTATGAATTTATTGAAATGAATGATACTTATTTTATTAATGAAGGTTGACCATTAATTCATTAAAGAAATAAATACTTAATATCTATATTCAATAATGTTATTTGATTCGAATAAAAAAGTTGGATGGATGCTTGATTTTTTTTTTTAAAATCTCTACATGTAAATGATATTTATAAATTTTTATTCAAATGCTTTATAGAATTGATACATTTTTCTGCCAACAATAAAGTTCATACATCGGGTATAACTTTTCACTTTTTGTAATTTTTTCACTTTTATATATCACACATGATTTATCATTTATCACCTGCATATTATAATATTTTTTATTTTATTTATAAATCATTTGTATCAATTTCATTAATAACAATATAATATCAATTTTATTATTATATTAAAATAATAAGATAGTAGAAAGCTTTTTTAATTCGATGTTGTGTAGAATATAACTGAAGTAAGGGGCAGCCCTACGTGATGTCCACTGTGGGCAAATGTTTCCCCTAAAATGAAAAAATTACATGGATGTATATGATAAATTTTACATTCTACCCTCACTCATCTCCAGTTACTATTTTTGAAATATTTGGCATTTACAAAGGATTGGAACTATACTGATAAAAAAGTTTTAGATTCGTGAAAGTTTTTTGTGATTGTGTAAATGCAATATTTATGATCATAAGGATAATCATAGTTATTATTCTTCTAAAATATCATTACCTCCACTAGAAGTCTTCTATGCAAAAATTGGTCTGTAAACTTTAATTTTTTTAAGTAGAGCGGATAATAGCATGGCCGACTTTCTTGCTAATTCGGCTCATTATATGTTAAATGATCTTAATTTTTTTGATTTACCACCTTTTAGTTAGTCTTTTGGGTGGTCTTTAGGTTTAGTTTTGGTTTGCTTTTTACTTGTGTTTTAGGTGGTTATTCCTTGTGTTACTTTTCACTGTGAATGAGATTTCATGCACTTATTAAAAAAAAAAAATCCAAAATCAAACCACTATTAAAACTTTGTACTGAATAAATTACCCCCACAACCCAAGGTCTTAGGTCCGTCACTAACTGAGGTGTCTTTTATTTATAGGTACAAATATATCAATCAAAGTAAATAAAATATATAAAATAATAATAATTAAAAGATATTATAGTAACTAAAAGATATTGAAGAATCTAAAATAATAAACATTAACATAATATCTTAATATTCATAATGCATCCGGTATAAATTTTGAATTTTTGTAATTTTTTTACACTTCTATATATCACACATGATTTATTATTTATAACCTGCTTAATATATATATTTCTTCTAATCTTATTTATAAATCTTTTATATTAATCTTGTTAATATTAATATAATAAAAATATAGGTAGTAAAAATAAGTAAACTTCATAATATGACCCCAAATAAAAAATAATAAATAAATAAATTATATAATATTTTTTCTCTTACTTGTTAAGAATAATTGAAAATTTTTAATTTAAAATAAAATAATTTTATCAACCAATATCTTATAAAATGAACCAAATTATATTTTTATAAGGCAGCCGTTAAAGAGGGCCAAGGAAATTTGAAGTGAAACACACCATTAGCCGAGAGTCAGATTCATTTAACTGAAAACAGCTTTTCTCTAACATATCACAGCAGGAAAATAGGAAAATGACAAAGCTACTCCCTATAGGCTATAGCAGTCGATTAATCCCTTGAACAGGTTTCACTTGGTGGCCATTAATTGAAATCCAGGAGGCACCTGCACATTGAATCTGCCCTTATTTAATTAGGCCAGTCAACAGCGATCACTTGCAGCGGGGAAGCGGGGACCCACACAAGCACTTGTTGTGCATGTACGAGTCCTTCCCCATCTTCTGCAAGCTCCCACCTGCAGGAATCGGACCGCAAAGCAAATTATAGCTCACGTCCAACTTCTGAAGTTGCAATGCTTCCAATCCCACAGGTAGTCTCCCGTAGATGCGATTGTGATTCAGATCCAGCCACGTCATGCTCTCCGGGACATTTACTTTGGACAGATCAAACTCGAGTAAGTTTCTGGAGAGGTCAAGCATATGCAACCCCAGTTTGTTTGGCCCAAAGAGCATGGAGGCGTCACCTTGGAGTTTGTTGCGAGACAAGTCAATGCTGGACGAGTTTAACTTCCCCAGCGACGCCGGGATTTTCCCCGACAGCTGGTTGCGCGAGAGGTAAAGGGTCGGAGAATTCTTGAAGTACCCGAAGGTGTAAGGGATGGGACCTGTGAGCTTGTTGCGACTCAAGTCAATTTCGTTGAGGTTATGCAGTTGGGAGAGGGAAGGCGGGATATAGCCTGAGAGCTTGTTGAAGGGAAGGTACAAGCTTTTGAGGTGGGTGAGTCGGGGCAGGAAGTCCGGTACGGGACCGGACACGGAGGTCCAGCTGATGCCTAAGAAGACGAGTCTGGTGAGCTTGGCGATGGCGGGGTGGATGGGGCCGGTGAGGTTGGGGAGCTTGTGGAGGTCGAGGGTGTCCAGATAAGGGAGGTCGCCGATGGCCGGAGGGATTTGAAAGCTGACTCCGTCGTTGGCGAGGGAGAGAGAGCGGATGCGGTGGGTGGTGAAGTCGCACTTGACGCAGTACCATTCGCAGCAGTCAGAGTCCGGCGTCCAGGAGGCGAGAAGGTAAGGATTCTTGAGGTCTTTCTTGATTTGAAGAAGGGCTTTCTTGTCTTGTGGATTGCAGCGTGCGGAGAGAGCTGGAGAGGAGAATGGAAGGAGGAGGAGGAGGAGGAGAAATAAAATAGCCATGGCTGGGAACGATGGAGCTGAGGCACTGACTTGCTATGCTTGGCAAGGTCTTTAGTACTATATAATAAAGCAAAGCGGAGGCTTGATAATTTCAATTTCAATTTGTCATAAATCATAATTCCGAGCTCCTAGCAGATTTCAAAATCAAAATTTGAATTTCAAGTTGGGAAAAATCAGAACAAGTACGATGATGGGGAAACACGAGTAGCGCATGGTTTCCAACTTGTGTCTGAAAAACTGAAGAGAGTTGGGGATCAACAGAAAGCTTTAAAGATATGGTCTGAAAGGGGAAAAAGCAGGAGATTGCATGCAGGGCCGATTGCGTTGTGTCTGCACGTTACTTTTCAGCTAAGGCGGGATCGAGTTTCGAGATCCAAATTGAAACTTGGCTGAAATTAATCCAGATTTAATGTAATTTCATTTCCATAATTTTAATAAGGGTTAAAGTATAAATATATTCCGGACATTTTTAAGAAGGCATAATTGATACCCTTATTATTTTGGCTTAATATAAAACGTCACTCAAATAGATTACAAAGCTAGTTTGGTTGAGTAATCGAAACGTTAGGCCTAATGTAAACAAAAGGGACTGGTCCTAAAACTCAATAAAGTCCACAACAAGTAAACATGATAAAATTCTGTCAGCTTCAAATATCAGACCATTGGTATGAAGACACGATCCTAAGTAATGCCGAAATCTACCCCTCAAGTGGTTCGATGAAACGGGTTGATTATCAAAATGGAGAGATTGTGCCATAAGTTTTACAGGATTCCTAATTTTTTGACAGAATGTGCTAAATCCTAAGGGGAAGGCTTCTGCTATTCGACACTATAAATAGAAAAAAGCAAAATAGAGAAAGCTAGTCAATAGTCAATTAAGACTCGCATATTTTACATTCATTTGCCTTTTTTAGTTTTTAATTTTAATCTGTAATCTTCTACATTTCAATAAAATTATATATTTATTTTACCAAAGCTTTCTATCTTTTTACATTCGAGCGACCTGTAGTAAAGAAACTCAGGACTCTTTTTATTATTTATTGAGATTCAATGTCTCTGACATACTTAGTATTTATTATTTTTCAACCACAAACACTTGTTTTTTTAAAGGTGTAACGTTGCTCCCGCATTTTTAAAAATCGAACAATTTTATCCTGCGATTACCAAAGGCCTTCCTTGACCATTACCTATCTCAATTTGACCATGAAAGTGTATGCTGGCATGCCACATGTGTTTGATCTCCTTCCATGTATTCTTTTTTCAGCCAATTATTCCACCTTTGTATTAGGTTTAACACTACAGAACATACTATAATAAAGCTCGTCATCTAGATATTTTATAGTGCTCTTCCGTTAGATTGACACGTGTATAGTAGTCATGTTTGCACCATATTGTGTAGTGCTCTGCCAGTGTGTATATATACGTACAGTGTATCAATCATTTGTAATGCAACAATACTGAACTTTTCCAGCCAATATTTCTTGTCTCCTTGCCTTTCTCTAACTTGGCATCAGAGCTATGGCTTCAGCCTCAACACCACTTTCCTCCTCCGCATCACCTTCAAGCACCACCGTGCCTCCCCACACCCCTAACACTGCATCTGTCACTGTTACTCTTCCAAAAATTCCTACCCTTATGTCGTCAAGCTCTCAAGCTGTCTCTGTTAAGCTGGATAGAGACAACTATCTTCTTTGGCAAACCACCATTCTTCCTATTATTTGTGGTTATCGTCTAGAAAGCCATATTTCAGGGGCAAAGTCGTGTCCTTCTGAATATATCTTTGAGAATGATGAACTCACAATCAATCCTGCCTTTCAAGACTGGGATGCTAATTACAAGATGCTAATGGGATGGTTATACAACTCCATGACAGTTAAAATTACTGCTCAGCTCACTCACTGCAAGTCTGCCTTTGAGTTATGGCAAGCTACCAAGAATCTTGCTGCTACAAGTTTAGGCTCTTGTGTTTTGCTGCTCAAGTCGGAGCTGCATCAAACTCGTAAGGGCTCACTCAAAATGCATGAATATATTTCAAAGATGAAGATAATTTTTGATAACTTGCTTATGGCTGGTAGTCTAATCTCCATTGCTGATCTTGTTACTCAAGTTCTTGCAGGTCTTGATTATGATTATAATCCAGTTTTATGTCAACTTGTGGATAAGAAAGATATTATATGGGTAGAGCTTCAAGCTACTCTGCTCACTTTTGAGAGCCGTCTTGAGCAACTGACTCATCTTACCTCTTCAATGAATGCTTTCACCGTTACTAGTCCTTTTGCCAACTTTGTTCAAGGATGTGGAAACAATTGCGGTCCCTGGAGAGCTGGTTTAAACAGGAGCAGGGGAGGACGTGGAAGAGGAAGGATGCTAAGGAACAATGGTGGTCACATTGAGTGCCAGTATTGTAGGCGCTTTGGACATTCTGCTGCGGATTGCTACTATCTAACTTAAAATGTTCAGAGACCTACTTCAACTGGAAACACAAATCTGCGGGGAACTAATACTCCTCCTTACTACAATGCCTTAGTTGCAACACCTAATACAGTTCATGATCAAACGTGGTACATGGATAGTGGAGCCAGTCATCATATCACTAACAATGTTCAAACTGTTGAGCAAGCAGTAGGGTATCCAGGTAAAATTACAGTATATGTTGGTAACGGACAATCTATCCCAATTCTAAGTAGTACAGACAGTAGCATGAAGAGTTTTAATGGTACAAAGGTTTTACTTAAGAATGTTCTATATGCTCCTCATATCACTAAAAATTTAATAAGCGTTGCAAAATTGTCCAGTGATAATGCTGTACTTGTGATTTTTGATTCAAAGATGTGTTATGTGAAGGACAAGAGGACAGGAGCAATACTGTTGCAAGGAACACTTGATAAAGATGAAGGGCTCTATAGGATTGATACAACCAGAGGACCATAGACTGCTGTAGTTCATAAAGTTACCTTAGGACGTAGAATACAATCTTGTAATGAGCTCATGGAATGGCATATTAGACTTGGCCATCCTTCATTTACAATTTTGTCTAAAGTTTTACATGATTGTAATATTGAAATCAGTAATAATACACCTCTATTTTGTGAAGCTTGCCAATATGGAAAATCCCACAAATTACCATTTAATCCATCTGATTCACGTGCTTCTTGTCCACTCGAACTCATTCCCTCAGATGTGTGGGGTCTTGCTCCCTTAAATTCAACAAATGATTTCAAATATTATATACATTTTATGGATGATTTTAGTAGGTTTACCTGGATATACTCGCTGCGAAACAAAAGAGAAGTGAAAGCTGTGTTCATACAGTTCAAGAATCTAGTTGAAAATCTGTTCAATAACAAGATTAAAATGTTTCAGTGTGATGGCGGAGGTGAATACCAAGCTTTACAAAGCATTTTTCATGAAGCGGGAATTCAATGCAGAATGTCTTGTCCATATACCTCAGCACAAAATGGAAGGGCTGAAAGAAAACATCGTCACATAGTGGAAATGGGTTTGAGCATGCTTGCACAAGCAAATATGCCATTGTATTATTAGTGGGAAGCTTTTCAAACCTCTGTATACATTATTAATATGCTTCCTACTGATGTTATTGCAGGTATAAGTCCTTACCATGTTCTGTACAAGAAAACTCCTAATTACAAGAGCTTAAGAGCTTTTGGTTGTGCTTGTTATCCCAACCTTCGACCTTACAATCATCACAAATTGGAGTTTGATTCTACCATATGCATTTTCATAGGTTACAGTGGACAACACAAGGGTTATAAGTGCTTGAGCTCTTCTGGAAAAATTTTCATTTCCAGACATGTGACATTCAATGAGAAAGATTTTCCCTTCTCCAAAGGCTTTATCAACAAATCTCAACCTGTTATTGTAACTTCTCAAATGACTGATTCTTTTCCAATCAGTTTCCAATAATTTTTGATGCTTAACTCAGATTCCACTACTCGAATTGAGCCGAGAAATCTACTCACTACTAATGATATTCAGATTATAAAGAATCTAAATGCAGTTGTCTCCCCTGGTTCTGCATCTCACCATGTTGGACAATTAAATTTTGCTGAACATAACTTGATAAATAGCAAAAATGTTGAACCTGACAATCTTAACAGCAACAGTGATAATTCACAAAGTTCTATGCCAACTCCTAATATTCCAATGTCAATGAACTTGAAATCATCAAGTACAAAATCAGATATTGCTCCTCCGCTTGGTTATCCCATGATTACAAGATCAAAAAGTAGGATAGTTAAACCTAAATATCCTTTCATTGGAATTGCTTCAACAGCATAAGATCATTTTAGGGAACCTTCCACTGTTCGTGAGGCTCTTTCTATTCCACAATGGAAAGAAGCTATGATCAAAGAACATACAGCTTTAATAAAGAATCAGACATAGGATCTAGTCCCATTTAACAATCAAAAAGTTATTGATTGCAGATGGATCTTCAAGACTAAGTATATGTCTAATGGAGTAGTTGATAAACATAAGGCAAGACTAGTTGCCAAAGGTTTCCAACAAGATGCAGGAGTAAATTTTGGAGCAACTTTCAGTCCTGTAGCTAAGATTGCAACAATCAAAATCATCTTATCCCTTGCTGTGACACTTAACTGGCTATTGAAACAATTAGACATTAACAATGCCTTTCTTAATGGTTTCATTTCAGATGATGTGTTTATGATGCAACCTGAAGGGTTTGTTGATTCAAAGAAACCACACCATGTCTACAAACTCTGTAAGGCTCTCTATGGTCTTAGACAAGCTCCACATGCTTGGTTTGATAGATTGAGTAGAGTGCTTCACGACTGGGGATTCTACAACACTAAGAGTGATAACTCTTTATTTGTTCTTACTACTGAGACATATGTGATCATTCTACTCATCTATGTAGATGATATATTGATAACTGGGAGTGAGCCTTATGAATTGCAGAAACTCATTAAAAAACTCAATGATCTTTTTTCCTTAAAGATCTTGGTGATTTGCATTATTTTCTAGGATTTGAAGTTTGAAGAGATGCTTGTGGCATTTTCATACATCAAAGTAAGTATATTGAAGATCTGTTAAAAAAATTC